TTTTGTTTAGCGTCTATATTTGTTACTATGTTTGAAACTGTAGGCTCAGAGGTCGGCAAGGCAGATAGGGAACATTGCAGTCCTCTGTCACTGAAGCAAGCAAGCCTCATGTTAGTTTCAAGCTGCCTGGCTGCCGGCCACCATCTTGGCTGGCAGTTAATTTGCATATCTTGCTGATTAGCCAATGGGAAGGGTAGCGGTCGTACACCAATTACCATGTTTCTCTTTTATTAGATAGGATATTAAGATATATGTCCAGATACATCTATTTCCCCCTCAGCCAATTCATCTATAAGAATCTTAATTAAATGGAAAAGAGCAGGCCCAAATAGGAGTCAGAAAATCTGGACTGATTCCTGCTATTCTTGGGCAAAGCAGTTAACCTAATTAGTCCTGCCTTCCCATATATAAAATAAAACAAACATGCCACATAATCATGGTATAGAAAGTTACGGTAGTTATTTAAAAACAGATGATAAAGTTTTACTTCAAATTATAATAAAACCTACTAAGGTGAACTTCAAAACTTCAAAAAACCAAACTAACAGTGTCTCTATCTTATCATTTTTTTCTCTTAGAGTAGCATAAAGTTGCTGTAATTCTTAAATTTAATATTTTTAAAATAAATTATGTTGGTAGTGTATGGGGTTCAATATTTGTGGAATAGAGAAACTATTTGGTTATAAAGCTATTAATTTTAAGAAAAAAATAGAGATAAATTATAAACTGATTTTACTCTCTGAAATTAAACAAATTCTATGGAAGTTTCTAAAGTGATAATACATCAAAATGATATGTTACTATTTTTAATCTCCAAATTCAAATATTTTTACCTTGAACTCAATCCTCCCATTGAACATTTTTGTCATTTCTTATTTAAAAACAAAAACATAAAAAAAGTACCCAGACTATTTCTATGCATTTATATGACCTTTTACAGGTATGGAGATAACATACATGTGTGTGTACACAAATACTGTATGGGAAATATATTATGTTTCATTAAAAATATCTTAAGGACAAAGGTAATTCCTAACTGGTAGTTAAGTTAATTTGATTGGCAGATTTAAGCATACCTAAAGAATTACATATCTCTAGAGTTAACTGTTATTACTTACATGTTTTGTTATAAGCAAGTTTACCTGTTCATAAAGAAGAAAGGTCTTGTCTCTCTCAGATGTAAGAACCTTGACATTACCCTGAATTTCTGCCAAATGACGCTCATATTTTTCCAGCATGCACTTAAGTTCTTCACGGTCTCGTGTGGTCTTCAAAAGCTCTACATCACAGTGTGTAGCCTACAATTATTGGATAAGAAATGTGAAGCTCTTCTTTGCAGGATGGCCGTTCATAGTCTCTACTTAAGCAACCGTGATGATATAATGAAAGGAAATTATGAAAATAAATTTTAAAAATCACCTCGTTTTTAAACAGCTTCCTCCAAAATTGTTCCACATTTGTCTGATTACCTCCCAACCAGGACTAATGCTAAGGCTAAAGAACCAATTTCAGTGGTCCACTGTCCAACAAAGAGACCTCTGTCCCCCAACCTCTTTGATATACCAATTCATGCCAATCAACCAGATTAGGTAAATCAAAGAATAAAAGTCAGTGTTTGAGCAACAAACTCCAAAATATTCCTCACTTTCCAACACTTACCCGGGAAGACGGGGACAGGCGTCTTGGACTTTTAGAACTGCTTCTGATCATCTTTCTCAGGTTCTGAGCTTCACTCTTGTAGTGATCTTTGTCTGCTTCTAAGGTCTTGATAAAGGAATCGAGTCTGGAAGGAGATTTATTTTGTGCTTTTTCAGTCTCTAAAATTATCTTGCCAGGGAGAAAAAACATAGGCCATTATTTCAAGCTAAACTACAGCATCATTTTCTACATGAGGTTGAACACGCACAGGATCCTTAAAAATAATAAATGTGGTATTTTAAAAATAACTTTTAAAAATCATACTTAAAAAAGCAGTTAGATATCATTCCTTTCCAGCATTTCTGAATGTTCTACATTTTTATTTAACTAAAGTACCCATACATTTACCCAATAATTTTGAAGGAAATAAGGTAAAGAAATTTCAGAGAGGCCAGAAATATCCAAAGATGTAGTTATAAATCCTAAAAGTAAAATTAATTTGCTTAGAAAAACTTGTATAGTTTTGTTCAATAACTGTCCAAGGAATGAATAAATTAAAGGAATGATGGATATTCTATACTTTTAAGTACTTTAAAGTGCATTCCCATTCACTTTAGCATATTTAGAAACATTTCTTTTACAACATTTATTTTACCAATGCTATATTGGGAGGAAATGACAAATATACTTACAGAGAAGGTCTTCCAAATTATTTTAAATAGTAACATTAACATGTCTAAACAGAGCTGTTTTTATTTCACATTGTTAAATTAAAAGACATATTAAACAACAAAATTTGACTTACAGATATTTCTTACTAAGAAGAATTAAAGTAAATATGTAGACAAATGTATTTTACATGTTGAGAATTAAATTATTTACAGTTATCATTTTAAATCAATTAACAGCTAAGGTCATTAATAAAATTAACCAAAAGTTCTCCCCAACTCTAGGAGAGCAAGGAGTAACGATGAAATGGAGCAAGAACAGCACTGCTCTTACACATGGGAGTGCCCTGTGCACCAAGCAGAGGGCTGATTGTAGAACACAAACATTTTTGATTGTTCACAAAATCATGAGAGTCAGAACATATGTACAATTTTTTGTAGTTTCATTATGCTAACAGAATAAAAATTATTCCTGAATATATTTTTAAGAAAAATATACTTACAGATTTTAGTCTTTTGATTGTATCTTCCAATACTATTATATTATTTTGCTGGCAAATGAGTTCAATCTGAAAATCAAGCCAGAAAAAAATTATTTGGGTTTTAAATATGTAAACTGATTTAACTGGAAAAAGAAAATATAAAAAGCAAGCCACTTAAAAATAAAAACATGCAGACAGTGAATATTTTACAAAAGAAACTATATTCTACCACTTTATGTGTACCTACCTTTGCTGATAAAAGAACCTAGGATGATATATAACAGTTCCTCTTATATAAAACATTGATTATACTTTATAAATTAATCCCCACAAACTAGAAAAAATGTTAATACTAATTGTAATCCTGAAGATAATAATGTGGAAGAAATAAAAGAATGACTAGGATTTTTAAAATTTTTCCAAATCACCATGGTCAGAAGTGATGATCTTTTCCTCTGAACTCTTTTAATAGTTTAGTTCAATCCAACCCACAAAAACCTTTTTTTTTATCAGATTTATGATATCAAACGCATCCAGTCTCATAGTATAGTTCCCCATAGTTATATATTTAATATAACTAAATTGTATGTTCCTAGAGGCCAGTCACTATGTTTAGCAAAGCTGTAAAGCTCTCTGCTAAAAGTTGGCAAGTTAGTTTAATAAATTTCTCTCTATTTTTTGCAGAACCAACGAGGTGGCTGAATCTTCCTTTAGAACATCAAAAAAACCTGACCATGACAACAGGGAGAACGGGTTGAATGCAATGGAGTGTGTATTACAAAATGTGAATCAGTCACTACTGGACTTGCACAAATTGACCACTGACAAAAATGACCCTCAATTGTGTGACTTCATTGAGACTCACTACCTGAATGAGCAGGTGAAATCCATCAAAGAATTGGGTGACCAGGTAACCAACTTGTGCAGGTTGGGGCCCCTGAAACTGATATGGCAGAGTATCTCTTTGACAAGCACACCTGGGAGATAGTGATGAGAGCTAAGCCTTGGCTGCTTCCCACAGCCACGGGGGTGACTTCCCTGGTCACCAAAGCAATATGTGTATGTTGGAGTTGCTTTACCTTTTCCATAACTTGTACCAAATCATCCACTCATTTCTTTCATTTGTACCATTCCTTCAAATAAAGTAATCTGGTACCAATATATATATATACATAATAAAATAAAATGTACTCTATTTTATTTTTTAATTCTTACTCAAGGATATTTTTCCAATGATGTTTAGAGAGAGGGAAATAGAGAGGGAAAGACAGAAAGAAATATTGATGTAAGAGAAACACATCAATTGTTTGCCTCCTGCATGAGCCCTGACCTTGGCCCAGGTCAGGGAGGAGCCTGAAACTGAGGTACATGCCTTTGACTGGAATCAAACCCAGGACGCTTCAGTCTGACACTCTATTCACTGAGCCAAACTGGCTAGGCCTAAAATATACTATATTTTAAATATATTCTGGGGTTATTGCACCTCATTTGTTCTTTTGACCAAAGTACTTTTCTAAGATTTCTCTGGAAGTGATATCTGTAATAATAAAAGAATATGCTAATTAGACTGGACATCCTTCCAGACGAAGACAGGGCTTCGAGGGAAGCCGGGTCCCAGGTGCCTCCCGAGGGAAGCCTGGGTCCTGGGTGTCAGAGGGAAGCCGGTGCTGGCAGCCGGGGGAAGGAAGGCCTACTCTTGCATGAATCTCTTGCATGCATCGCGCCTCTTGACCTTCCGGTGCATGGGAAGACAATCAACCAACTGAGCCACACCAACCGGGCAGATCTCTGACATTTTGTTTGTGTGTTCTTTTAAATATGATTTTAATGATTTCAGAGAGGAAGGGAGAGATAGAAACATCAACAATGAGAGAGAATCACTGATCAGCTGCCTCTGCATGCCCCCTACTGGGGCTTGAGCCAGCAACCCGGTATGTGCCCTGACCTGGAATCAGATCATGACCTCCTGGACTGAAAATTTTAATAATAGATATGTATTATTTTTCATATAAGAAAACATAATGCTGATTCCACTCTGAAAAACAAAATTATAAATGGCCCAAATGAAAAGATGCTAATCAGTGTCATTTATTTGACAATTGTTTAATGAGGGCCTACTATGTGTCTGACATTGTGTTATATGCTTGGTTTAGTGGTGAATAAAACAGACAAAAACCTCTGCCTTCACAGAGCTGGCATTCTGGTTGGAAATAGAAAAACAAAAGATATTAGGTAAAATATAGGTCAGATAGGGAGTATGTCATTTAAAAAATATATAGAATAGGAGGGTCAATATGGCAGTGTAGGTAAACATGGTATTCGTCTCCTCCTATAACCACATCAAAATTAAAACTAAACCACAGAACAATCATCATTCAGAACCACCTGGAATCTGGCTGAACATAAACCCTACAACTAGAGAATTAAAGAAGCCACATTGAGCCCAAGCTGGTTTGGCTCAGTGGATAGAGCATCAGCCTGTGGACTGAAGTGTCCTGGGGTTCAATTTCAGTCAAGGGCATATGCCAGGGTTGTGGGCTTGATCCCCAGTAGGGGGCATGCAGAAGGTAGATGATCAATGATTCTCTCTCATAATTGATGTTTCTATCTCTCCCTCTCCTTCTCCTTCACCCTCTCCCTCTCTGAAGTCAATAAAAATGTTTAAAAATAAATAAATAAATAAATAAAGCACAGCTCTCTCTAGCAATAAAAGTAGAACTATTTTTTTTTTTAAAGAAGAAGCCACATTGAAATCGATAGGAGGGGTGGAGGCACAGAACAGTTGGTCCAACATCCAGGAGCGGCAGTTAAACACTGGGAAGGATAACTTGGCTGTGGAGCTCTCTCTATCCCATGAGAAGTAAAGGGTACTACCAGCCCCGCACCAGACCCCTCATTCCAGGGTTCCAGTGCTGGGAAGAGAAGTCCGTGCAACTGTGGGCTGCAAAAACCAGCAGTCTGGGGACACAGAGACTACTAAAGTCCCAGGCAGCTCCTCTTACAGGGCCTGCACACAGATTTACTCAGGCCCACTCTCTCTGAGCTCCAGCACTGGGGCAGCAGCTTGAAAGGATACAAGGACACACAGGGAGGAACTAAATTATCTGGCATCAGGACAAGAACTGGGGGGCAATTTTCTCCCAGAAAAAGTGCTGGCAGAGGTCACTGTTCCTTGGCTGAGACCACAGAGCTGATAGGCAGGAGCCATATCTGTGTCTTCATCAACTTGGCCCATACTGTTCACTCCACCTTGGTGATATCCTAAGGCCCTGCCCCACCTAAGCTGTTTGCAAGGGCTTTTCCATATGAATTGCCTGTCCTGACTCAGGCTTCAGTCTTTTCTAAAATCACTCAAACAAGCAGCAGCTGCCCTCAGCATGCTCTATACCTCTCAAGAAGTGGCCCTATGCCCCATTTCTTTAGATAAGTGCCCCTAGGCACCACACTAGCAGCAGCATTCCAAGGTTCACAGCTTGGCCTCTTCTGGATATCTCCAAGCCTGACACATATAGCAGCCATCTGCAGATCACTCTGTAGCTTATGCTGGGTGGCACCAAACAAGGCACAGGCAGTAGCTGGCTTTGAACCTTCCAGGAGGCCTCAGAGCCAGTGCACCTGGTGATCAGCTTCAGCCCAACCCAGATTACAACCCTATCACATCCACAAGCAGCACACTCAAGGAGCAGACTTGGTGAGCACCAAAGATGCACTGGAGCAAGTCCTGCTCCATAGAGGCATCTCTTGCACAGCAGCTCTTTAGCTATAGTCACAGCTGGCATTCATAGCCAATTGGCCTGGGGGTCAATCCCTCCCAGTGATGGCAATAGCAATCAAGGCTCAGCTACAATAGGAAAATGCACACAGCCCACAAAGGGCACACCTAGAGTACCCAGCTCAGGTGACTGAGGGAGGGTGAACCACTGGGCCCTATAGGACACCTACTATACAAGGCCACTCTACCAATTACAGGAAACACAGTAGCTCTACCTAATACACAGAAACAAACACAGGGAAGCAGTCAAAATGCAGAGACAAAGAAACATATCACAAATGAAAGAATAGAAGGAATCTTCAGAAAAAGTACTAACTTAGATGGAAGCAAGAAAACTACCAGATACAGAGTTCAAAACAATGGTTATAAGGATGCTCAAGGAACTTAATGAGAACTTCAAGGAACTTAGTGAGAACTTCAAGGAACTTAGTTAAAACATCAACTACATAAAAAAGGACCTGCCAGAAATGAAGGATACACTAACATTTTGAAATGAAGAATAATTTACAGGGAATCAATAGCAGAATAGAGGATACCAAGAATCGAATCAGCGATTTGAAATATGAGGATGCAATAAACACCCAATCAGAACAGCAAAAAGAAAAAAGAATCCAATAATATGAAGATAGTGTAAGGAGCCTCTTGGACAATTTCAAATGCACCAACATTTGCATTATAGAGGTGCCAGAAGGAGAATAGAGAGAGCAAGATACTGAAAAACTAATTGAAAAAATAATGACAGAAAACTTCCTCTACCTGGTGAAAGAAATAGACTTACAAGTCCAGGAAGTGAAGAAAGTCCCAAAAAAGATGAATCCAAAGAGGCCCACATCAAGACACAGCATAGTTAAAATGCCAAAGGTTAAAGATAAAAAAAAAAGAATCTTAAAAACAGAAAAAAAGCAGTTACCGACAAAGGAGCACCTATACAACTGTCAGCTAATTTCTCATCAGAAACTTTTCAGCCAGAGGAGAGTGGCAAGAAATATTCAAAGTGATGAAAAGCAAGAACCTACAACCAAGACTACTCTACCCATCAAAGCTGTCATTTAGAATTGAAGGTCAGATAAAGAGCCTCACAGACAAGAAAAAGCTAAAGGTGTTCATCACCACCCAACTAGTATTACAAGAAATGTTGAAGGGTCTTCTTGAAGGATCTTACATTCCAGCTGAGTAGACAATAAAAATAAACCTAACAAATAAATTATATAGAAAAAAAGAGCAGAGTTAAAGATATTGGGATGTCTATAAAGGAACAGGTTGGAATTTTTTAAACAGGTGATCAGGGGCCCTTTCAGCAAAGACTTAAAGGAGGGAGCAAGTCAATCTTATAAAAATCTGGGAAAACACTCCAGGCAGAAGATACAGCCTTATAGCAAAGGACCTAAAGACAAAAGATGTCAGCTAAATTCTAAGGAATAATAAGGAGACTAGTGTGGCTGGAGCAGAGGGACGGAGGGATGAAGTAGTAGGAAAGTGATACAGAGAAAAATAAATCAAGCAGAGAAAAGAGGGAGGTGTGTGTGTGTGTGTGTGTGTGTGTGTGTGTGTGTGTGTGTGTGTGTGTAGGGGGCTTAAAACTTAAATAAGCTTTACCTTTGCTTTCCACATGGTAGGTTTTGAAATATTTTTCATTGACTGAATCACATACAAAGGTAAAAATAATGACAGAAGCTACCAGAGATCCAGTCTAATAATGAACCCTATGTGAATTTAAAATATAAATTCTATCAAGAAACTGGTAAAGGTGAAACTGCAACTTTGTTTCATGTTTCAAAATGTATTTTTAATTATCTGGGAAACACTGTTTTAAGATATAAATGGCAAACAACTCAAAATGAGAAGATAAAAGGAGGCATATAGTTGTGGTGGTTTTCAAATGTCCACGAACTCTAATATTCCTTCCTTCAAAAAATGGAGCTTACCTGCCCTCCCCTTAAGTGTGGGCTACACCTAGTGACACATGTCTAATGAATAGGATGTGGCGGGAGTGCTGGTGCACAGCTTGTGGGTCACCACAGGCATTACCGATTCCTCCTTGCTGTCTCTCTTGGATCACAGGCTTGGGGACAAGCCAGCTGCTGTAAAGACTATATCAAACGACCCGAGGGAGAGGTCCACCTGGCGAGCAACTGAGGCTTCCTGCCAAAAGCCAATGGCCACCTGAGTAAGGCATAGTAAAAGCAAATCTTCCACGACAGTCAAGCAATGACTGCAGCCGAACCATCATTTTAATGACAATTCCTAAGAAACCATGGACCAGAACCACTCAGCTAAGCTGCATTTGACTGCAAGATATACATGTTTGTCACTTAAGGCCATTAGAGTTTAGGGGTAATTTGTATGATAGCAATAGATAATACAATGCTTAATACTCAAAACATTTTTATGGAATAAATGATGGAAGAAGTTCCTCTTTAAAAAGCTGACCTTTAAAAAAATGACTAAAAGTAATCTCTTCCGAGTAAATAAATATAATACCATATTTCTCAATTCCACATAAGTGAACAGTAGCTTAAACATCAGACTCTACCTCCACATATCCAGAGCATAATGTCAAGGAGTATAAGAACCCAAATATTCTTAGTTCTCAAATTAGAAATTCTCATTTCAAACCTCATCCCACAAGTCAGACAAGGAACCTCTCCCATTAACAGGGTACCTGAACTGCACGCCCGGTGATGTGAGGAGGACAACATGCACTGGCATTCAGTTCCCCAACATTGGTCATGCATCTTCTATTTCCCCGTGTACCTGTAACCCTCGCCTACTGAGGTTGATGACTTCAGGTCAGGGCATTCTACCAACCCGAAGGACCTATATCCATCTTTCTCTCTCTTTTTCAACTTTCCAATGTTTTCCCTGCATCAGCAATGCTATCTCTGCTCTAAGACCACTACTCATCTTTACCCCGAATAGTTTTCCAATTCTCAAATATACCAAGCGTTCCACCTTATATATGGATATGTATTTCCAAGAAACACTCCTTTGTGAGCCAGGCAGAATTTCCACCTGTGAGTTTAAGGTAAATCCTAGTTCTTTTATTTTTGACATTTTCCATTCCTGAAACTGTCCTTTGATAGCAGAGCATTTACCCTGACAGAGTAGTCACTCTCTCTAGAATGCAGATCCTAAAACATTTTAAAACTGATGACTTCTAAACTGGGCACTCTCTTCATGGGATTTTGGCCAACTAGACTGCCCTGAGTCTGGGATAGAGTGCAGTAAATTCTTAATTTGAAGAAAAAGCAGAGAAGGTATAATAAAACATAAATCAAGCATTTTTTAATTTTATAATTTATATAATTCAGTCTAAACTCAACTTACCATTAAAATGTAAGTAAAGAATAATATTCTTAAAGTAACAATGTAAACAAAAGAATTTATTGAAAAATGTTTAAAATATTTGAGCTGTTTTTAAATGTCCTTCAAATACTTTAGTAGCATCCATGACAAGATAATTAACAAATTAAAATCATATCATCCTTATCTACTCTCTCAATTACCTGTGCTAAGAACCCCCTCAAGGAAGCATTGGTAAAGAAGATTGTGTTCTTACATTAAAGGAATAAACATCACAATTTAAATAGACTTTTTACTCATTTAGATTTACTTATCCTTTCTAAATAACTGTGGTAACTGCATATAAACAAATACCATCCTAGAGTTCATTAACTAGGCTGTTATATTTCAAATTACTGTAACAAATAATGCCTTCGATAACACACGTTTTCAGCCTAATCATTTAATTAAGTGCTTTATCATACGCTACCGACAGGAGTATATAATATGCTACCAAGAGTACATTAAAAGGATGTTTAAGAAATAACATGGCCCTAGCCAGTTTGGCTCAGTGGAGAGTGTCGGTCTGTGGACTGAAAGGTCCCAGGTTCGATTCTGGTCAAGGGCACACGCCCAGGTTGCGGGCTTGACTCCCAGTAGAGAGTGTGCAGAAGGCAGCCCATCAATGAGTCTCTCATCATTGATGTTTCTCTCTCTCCCTCTCCTTTCCTCTCTCTGAAATCAATAAAAATTTAAAAAAAAAGAAAAAAGAAATAACATGTAACAACACTTAGCTTTGGGAAACTATGTTATTACAGACACAGTTTACTAATTTGGTGACTAATAAAATCAAATCAAGCACATTCACACGATATTTAAGAATTCAATAGGTTGCTTTTCAGCTTTCAAATCCACTCTGTGTTTTGCTTATAAACCATCAGTAGCAATGTGAAACAAAAATGTCATTTTATAACAGTGTTGAAAATCCCAGTTTCTAAATTTCATGGCAGAGTATTAAATCTCAATCAAGAAAGATGTTACCAAATGTCAAGTAGCTACAACAATTAGAATAATGTGGCAGTGGCACAGAAACAGCAAATGAATCAATGAGACCAACCAGCTCAGAGCTGTGTCCACACACATTGGTGAATTCAGCAGCTGCTAAAGTGGCACTTCAAGTCAGTGACTAAAGAAAGCACTAGCTGACCCTACCTCATACTACAACAAAAGAATTCCCAAGGATTATAACTTTTTAAAAAAGTTATTTAAAAGTATTAAAAGAAAACTTTAGAAAATATTTTTGTAGTTCTTTAAGTGACAAGGCCTTTCCAAACCAGAGTCAACATGAGGCTAAGTACCGAGGATTTCAGGGCAGTGAAACTACTTTTTTGATAGTATAATGGTGGATAAATGTCATTTTACATTTGTCCAAACCCACAGAATGGTCAACACCAAGAGTGAACTTGAATGTGAACTATGTAAAAATGACATGTCAATGTAGGTTCATCCATTGTAACAAATGCACCACTCTGATAGGGGATGTTAATGATGGTGGAGGCTATGCATGTGTGAGGGCAGGGAGTATATGGGAAATCTCTCTACCATCTGCTAAGTATGAATTTATTTATTTTTTAAAAATATATTTTTATTGATTTCAGACAGGAAGGGAGAGGGAGAGATAGAAACATCAATGATGAGAGAATCATTGATCAGCTGCCTCTTCCATGCCCCAAACTGGGGTTCCAGCGCACGACCCGGGCATGTGCCTTGACCGGGAATCGAACCATAACCTCCTGGTTCATAAGTTGATGCTCAACCACTGAGCCACACCTGCTGGGCAGATTTTCTATGAATTTAAAACTGCTCTAACAAATAAAGTCTATTCAGATTTTTAAAAGGAAGAGGAAACCTCTAAAATAAAACAATCAAAATATTGACATCTATGACTACAAATAATTTTAAACTTTGGTAAAAAAAACTTTCTAAAGTGTGAAATATATAGTGGATGTGATACAAACAGAAAAAAAGAATGGGGACACATACATCTTGTTTGTAGCTATCTGTGTAGAGAGAAGGACTAGGGAGGAGGAGAAATGTTTGACATACAGAACATTATTATTGCTTGAAGTTTTTACCATTACACATCTTAGGAAATTTTCTTAACAAAAATTTTAAATGAAAAAATGTAAGATACAAAACAATTTAATTCATAGAACAGAAATTTAAATATAATGTCAAGTCTAAAAAACTTTCAAATGATATAGAATGTCACTTTTTCCTTTGCATTTAATAATTACACGATATTTAAAGTAGAATTAAAATATTGATCAATAGTCAGATGCTAACTAGAATTATTGTAGTCATTTCACAATATATATATAGTGAAATGACTATATATATAATCTAATATATAGAATAATTCTATATATATATATACATATATATATATAGAATCATTACGTTGTACCCCTGAAATTAATATAATGCCATATGTCAATTATACATCAATTTTTTTTAAAAAAAATACCTATCAGTGGTAAGTCTAATACCTTGGCTTCTTCAAGTTCCTTGTCGGCGGTATCCACCACAAAATTTTTCTGTTTTTCTAATTGCTCTGCTAATTGGTCAACTTTAATCAATTCTTTGCAAAGGTGCTCATTGTGGCTGGTTAAATTGTCTATTTGATTGCTTACCACCTCCTTACTATTCACGAGGTTTCTAACATATTCTTTCAAGGCATGATTTGTCTGCTTGAGATCTTCAATCTGTATAATTAGAAAGAAAATAATCACATTAAAATATGTCCTTGGCTGCCCTCTGAGAACAACTAGATGACGGGAATCAGAAAGGTAGATTTGCTTCCCTGTCAAGGAGACCTAACTATGTATCTTTCTTTACTTTATGAATTTTGTGCCATGTGAATAGTTTCCTTATCTGAAAAAATATCCTATATAATAAAAGGCTAATATACAAATCAACCAAACAGTGGAACGACTGGTCGCTATGATACACACTGACCATCAGGGGGGCAGATGCTCAACTCAAGAGCTGCCCCCTGGTGGTCAGTGCACTCCCACAGGGGGAGTGCTACTCAGCCAGAAGCCAGACTCATGGTTGGTGAGCACAGCGGCGATAGTGGGAACCTCTCCGACCTCTGTGGCATCGCTAAGGATGTCTAAGCTGTCAGTTGGACATCCCCTAAGGGATCTCGGTCTGTGAGAGGGCGCAGGCCAGGCTGAGGGACCACCCCCCACTCCCCCGAGTGCAGGAATTTCGTTCACCAGGTCTCTAGTACAAATAAAAATCAAAAGGTTAAGATCTATATCTTTCAAGATAATTTACAGTTTAATAAAAAAGAACTTAATTACTATTGATTTTTAACCAAACTATTAGAAAAATTGCCAAATATGTATATCTGCAAAAAGAAACCATGGTCTTAAAATTATTTAATTATAATAATTAATATAATCAATAGGCATTCTTTATAATTAAATTTCTATTTATTAAAAAAATATGCTAATTCTTTAGAAAAGACCTTTTGAACATATCAATAACTTACTTGACTAAGCTAAATACCAGATCAATCAAGTATTTGCTGATTAATACGGAGGACCACAGCTTTCCTTCCCAGCCCACTATCAAACCATCAAGAAGGGATGAAGAAAAGGGCCTATCACGAAGGTGTCCAAATGCCTTTAAAGGGGAAAATACATATGTTAGACCCAGTGGACAATGATTATGTTGGGAGCTATGTTAGATTCCAAATGTACAAAGCTAGGTTAGGTACCTGCCCTCGGAGAACTTACTGTTTACTTGAAAAAATACAAATATAATATGTGAAGTGCCACAAAAGACATATCTATGAGATAAAGTAGTGGCACAAAGATCCTTCCCATAATATTTGACTCTCGTTGTATATTTAACAATATTTATTGAACACCAACATATTCAAGGCACTGTTTCAGTACACTCTGGAATGTGTGAGATGACAAATGAAAGAAGTCTTGGTCTTTAAGGAGCATCTAAAATTGCTAAATCCCTCATCTAATTCTTAGTTCTAACATTATTCTTGCTCTGACCTTGAACTTTTCAAATAACTATAGAGATAGTTCTTCCCAATCCATGAAAATCAACAGTTTTTTTTAAAAGCATAAACTTTATCTATAATTTGTTACTATATAAAAAAGTATCCTAAACATTGTGAGTTATATTTAACTATACTACAATGACTTTTATTATACTCAATACATACCTAGAAGGACCATAAAATCGAGCCTACAACTGAGGCATGTACCCTGACTGGGAATCAAACTGCGACCTCCTGGTTAATAGGTCGACTCTCAATCACTGAGCCACACCAGCCGGGCTCCCTTTGGCATTTTGTAAGTGCATACTAACTTGTCAGATTTAGAGGTAAAGAGTTTGAATTATCAAATCCAGGAAACAAGAAAAATGTGAATAATAATAATTTTAAAAAAAAGAAACTGCAAATGCATGTATCTCCTTAGCTAAGTCTTATCACACTGGCCTGAATTTTTAGCAATAACGTCCTACTCTCTTGTCTTTTGGTCTTTTCCTATACACAGCTAAAAATTCTTTGAAAATGAAAATTTGAGGTAACTCCTGTTACCTGGGGTGCTTGAGAATGAATAAGATGAAAGAATGCCATTTGCGATCCCAGCCCTACTGACCTGTCTGGCCTATCCACCATCGCCTATACAGACCTAAGCTTCAGACACACTCAGGAAACAATCTCACTAAACTCATTTTAAAACCTGTATTAAGGAAGTTATTGAAAATGTTATATACTGTCACTAAACCCTTTTTTATGAAAATCCTCAAGAAAACATGGAGTTCTTCTGGATACCTGGTTTGTTCCTATTCTGTGGACATGAATTATTTACAGTCCACAAAGGCAATTTCCTGTTTGCCTTTGCCTCTTAGAAGTGTAAAGCCAATCTGGAGCAACTACTACAGAAGTCCGTGCAATGAACCTGCCTGCTATTTTCATCTCACACTTTCACTGTTTAGTTCCCCCATTTTTATTTTCATTATTAGTATTTTTTTAAACTATAGGATGTGGGGTAAACAGATAAATTTCAATTTCTCTATTCTATGTAACTTTTTGTCTTTGTTCATGATTTCTATAGAGGAGCATTTCTGAGCGACTAGAGCACACTATAGATGCTCGCTAACCATCTACTGCACCAGGAGAGAGTAAATGCTTCTCCTCTCCGTGCTTCCATAAAGCCTTTTAGTTTTATCTTAGTATTTTATAAGATATATTATAATCACTATTTTTATTTCCCTGTCCCTCCCACTAAATTATAAACAACTTTAAATGGACTGTGTCTCCAATTTCTTATTCAACATTATTCTCATTTTTGTATCATTATATTTTTAGCACATAAATTATTGTTAAATGAATTATAAATGCACAAACTCTTCCCTCTCCTCTGAAATCAAGTTCTACTTTCATACATTTCCAAGACACAAATTGCCAGGGTTCTTGTCCCAGCATCAAGAAGGGTTCAGGAATCTGGAAAAGGCTGTGCGTAGATGACATAGGAATCCAGAGACTAATAAAGAGTCTGGAGACGAGATATAATTTTGTAAGGCATTGGGGGTCAGAGGACCTTCAGCTAAAGGAACTGAAGACTCCCTCCTTGTCTTGGACCCTTGCTTTATTAACACAATTTGTCCTAAGGCAAGGTGGAGATAATACATTTCAAAGGGTAAGGTTTCAAAGGGTACAGAAGCATTGTCAGTTTGGGGGAATTAGCCTACAGCTGTTCAGGTGCTTGGCCAGTAGGAGGCAATAATATGTAGATTAAGATGCCCTTTAACTGTCTGCAGCCACAATCAGTTTCCTATTCAGGTTTGGGGAAATGCCTTTAGCCATTCCCAACAGGTGACTACAAATGTGACTCAACCCTGTCGAGTCCCCAAGTCTCATCAACCTTTTGATGAAACTCTTGAAATTATGACATGCTGGAATTGGTTCCTGGCAACAAATACTTTGAAAGAGGCAGTTTAAGGCAGTAGGAAGGATGCAGGCTTTGGACTAAGACAGGCAGATTTAAATCCCACTGTAGCCCTTCACCAGTAACTTAACCTCAGGCAATTTACCATATTTTCTTGATCCTAAGAGGTGCATGCTGACTTCAGAAAAAATAAATAGAAGCCTCTTGAGTTGTATCTGTTAAATGGAGATAATATTTACAATTTGCTGGGGTGTATATAAAGAGATATTAAAGTTCAAGTGAGCCCTGGCCGGTTTGGCTCAGCGGATAGAGCGTCGGCCTGCGGACTCAAGGGTCCCAGGTCTGATTCCGGTCAAGGGCATGTACCTTGGTTGTGGGCACATCCCCAGTGGGGAGTGTGCAGGAGGCAGCTGATCGATGTTCCTCTCTCATCGATGTTTCTGGCTCTCTATCCTTCTCCCTTATTCTCTGTAAAAAATCAATAAAATATATTAAAAAAAAAGTTCAAGTGAAATTTCTGATAGATAATATGTGCCCCCAAAAGTAGTTTTTCTAAACAAACAAATAAACCCT